GAGCATACACTCATTGTAGCAGGATGTATGACACACGTAAAGAACTTGATTACATTGCAAAATTAGCAAGAGATGTAGGACTTAAGCAAAGTAAAGTAAAAGCCTTAATACAAGAAGCGGAAAAAGGATGCAATAAGACTAAAGATAAGAAAGAAAAAAAGGAGTTCACCGTAATGGAATACAGAGCACCGTTAAGTGGCATATACAGAAAAATAGGAGTAGAGAGCAAAAAGAAAATAGCATATAAGAGAAACACGACAATATTCCAAATGCTAAGAAATGACAAAACACCAATAGACAGGAGGCTAGTTCCAGGTGTGTACAGAATACCGTTGCATGATAAAAGGCTAAAGAAAGAGTTATATTATATAGGAGCCACAAAGAGATCATTAAGAGAAAGATTGAAGGAGCACGAAAAAAATATAAGATCTAAACAACCGATCACGGCTTTGGCCAATTATGCTATCGCGGATCCTGCAGAGATTACAATCGAATGGAGCAAGGCGGATATTGTACAAAAGATCGATAATATACGACATCTAAAGTATGCAGAGGCATGGCACATTTATAAATACAGAGAAAAGGGGCTTAATATAAATTTTCGAGAGTCAAGTAGAATAGCAACGGCATGGAGAGCGGCGGCATTATAAAGAGCTAATGGACATGCGCGATCGAATATCTGAAGATTATAGAACGTGCGTGGTTCGAATTACCGTTGAGAAAGTTCAAATTTTTAAAATATTTTACATCAATCCTGAAGAAGGTCTATAAATTAGACCGAAAACGTTAGAGAACTGACAAAAGTAGACTGCATTTTAAAGGTATAGTGAAATGTAGCAATCCTGAAGAAGGTCTATAAATTAGACCGAAAACGTTAGAGAACTGACAAAAGTAGACTGCATTTTAAAGGTATAGTGAAATGTAGTAATTAATTAATGCAGTTAGAGATTTAGTAATTAACTACTGAAATATCTAAAACATGACTACTAGAAAATAAACTTGCTAACTTACCACATACCAAGTCCTCTGATATTGCGCATCATCATCATCTAGAACTTCCGTGTTTTGAAGATTTTGATAGAATCATTACTTTCAGATATTCAATACTTTAATAGTTTTATACTAGTTTTATACTAGTTTTATACCTTCTTATTTTAATGCGTATACCAAATCTTAACTTGCATAATCCCTTGTTTTTACCATTCTTTTTTAAAATTTCGCAACTCTGTCAAAAACATCGAGGACCTTTTGCATCGTGATTTTTATACTTACACATATATGTAAAAAAGCTTTATATGTGTTTTAACAGCTTTTGCAGTTTTTGTTTTTTTGTATTTTTTTTTTTATCGTATCTTGCCTAGACAGCATTGCATGTAATACTTTGTAATAAGGAATAAAGAATGAAAAAGCTGATCAATAACAAAGGCTAGCATTTTAATATAATTCAGTATTATTAAATTAGTGCGTAGAAGTTTGTTTGTTTATTAATGATTTTTCATTGGACGTTTAACAATTGAATTTTTGAACTGGATTTAGAAAACTGAAAATGAGTTATAAAAAAAAAATCCTAAAATGGTTCCTAAATAAATATTTTCAATTTATTTTATCATAATTTTGCTAAATTATGGAAATATGACAACTAATATATATTTATGGAGCTGTCCATAAATGATGTCCACACTGGGAGGGATGAGGTTACAAAAGTCAGACCAGAGAGAGGGGAGGGTTGAGCTTCAGTGGCCATCCATTTATTTCATTAAATTTTATACAGTTTATGCATTTTATTATATATATTTCAAAATTTCTTGTAAAAATTTCATTTCTACTTATGGTATCTATCATTCATAAAGTGATGAAGGTTTTAAGGGGGGTTAAGTTTTGTTGGACATCTGAAGAGGAGAAGGGGTTATGGAAACTTGGACAAACTGGGACAAGAGGGAGAGGGGAAGTAAAAATGTCAAGAAAAATGCAGTCATAATTTATGGACAGCCCCTATGAATTAGTTAATGATGAATAAATTCTTACTTTAATTTCACAGGTTTTGTAGAATAAACTCTTAATAAAAATTCTGCTTCTTGTCCTGATTCAAATGTTGTTGGCAAAATAATATATAATCCCTGATCCAGATGACAACGAGTTGAAATCTAAATCAATTGTTTTAAATATTAAAATCAATACTTTAAAAATAGTAGTAGTATAATACAAATTATAACTAATAATTTTTTTATATCTAAAATTTATTAATTATACAGTACTGTATATACTAGGTTTTAAATGTTCATTTGAGAAATAATGTAACTGTTGAGTGATGGAAAGTAGGGTTGGAAAATAAAAATTCAATAGTGTAGTTTCAATTGGTAGTGGACTGCTATTTATGTTTCATAAATCTGCTGAATTAGAATACTTAGAAATCTAATCATTGTATTTAATTTTACAGAATGTGAATTAAATAAACAATTTATGGGTTTTGGGAGAAAAAGAAAGCAATCTTGTGGCTTGTTAAATTGGACCATGTGTGGTCCAGTCCAGTCATAAAATCATTTACAATGGCACGAAAACAACTGTAATTAAGCAAGTAAACATGTGGGAGGAGGACCACCTACATTCAGGTCAGCACAGACATGAAAGAAAACTTTGTACACAAATGTCTTTCTGATTGGTCAGAAGTCGACTCCCAAAAAACATTTAAATTAGGGAGAAGATTGGAGTAAAAGAGGTGGAGAGTAAGGCTCGGAGCTGATAGCACTTAAATCTTAAATACTTGGCAAGTCTGCTGAGGATAGGGAGAGAAGTTACACTTTTCTGGAAAGAACACTCAGGTATGGATGTGATCTGAGATTGGACAAAAAGTGCAGACAGAGCCTATCCATGGTCCAGAAATCATCGAGGAAATATCCAATCCCCAATTATTCCAGTCTAGCCTTGATCATTTGTGTGTTAATCTGTAGTGTGGTGCCGGGATAAATTGTATATTTCTGTAAATAAACTGTATATACTAAATCGAGTTGAGTATGGAGATGTATTTCCTACAAACCTACAGTACATTTCGAACATCTTAGACTCTGCTTGCTCAAGAAATCTGCTTGAGGAGACAGAGGACAGGGAGGTACTTTCACTTAATTAAGTTTTAAAATGTTTTCTTCAAATAATTTTGCATCATTTTCTTATCAATAAATAGCTAATGTTACAAAATTAATGATGTTTTACAATGATATCTAGCTAGCAACCTGTCAATCTTGGTTAAAAATACAAGATTTCTATAAATTTATACACAACTGCAAGGTGCTAGTTGAATATATTTTCCTGAATTTTTTTTTATGTCTAAAGTTTTATTCAACTCTGATCACATCTAAAACTTATTAATTAATTAATTATTGTTCTCAAAACATATTTTATTCATAATATATAAACTATTATGTTAAATTTAATATGAAATTAAAAACTAAATAAAAGAAAAATTGATTAGCTTTCATTAAAACAGAATTTAGGATAAAAATAATTCTGCAGATGTAATAAAGGACACTTTCATGGATTTGGCAAAAAGTTTTAAATAGTGGAAAAGACTTCATAAAAGTAGTTCATGCACAACTGATTTGTATAATAAAATACTACTTTCTGATAAAATTCTAATGTTATAACTTAATCGAAAGCCTTTCTAATATTATTCAATGTTTTTGATATAATAATTAAGATAAAAACAAATAATGAATATGAAGTTAATACTTAACAATTCATTTTCTATAAGATATTGTTATATATTTAAATTTTCAGTCTTAAAAAAACCTCTACAAAGGCTAATCTAATAAACACATTTATTCTTTTTAGTTCATAAATCTGATTAAGACATGTGATTTTAAAACAAATACTAATTTAGGTATTCATTTGTTGCTATTCAATCACATGGTCATTTCATATTACATTGGAAATTTATATCATAAATCAATCACATTAAATTTTGTAAATATAAAAAAATGTATGTAGCATTTATTAAATACATTTATAAAATAACATTAAAACATTATTTTTTTCCCACTTTATTAAATATTAAAACATGAAGATTGAAAGCAAACATATTAATTTAACAGAGTTATAAAAAATTCATTTGCCAAGATTAAAAATATTCTTTATAATTCTTTATAATTACAGTACCAAAGATGTTTGTTTCTTTGAAGATAATGATAATTTAAAACACTATAATTAAAATTAATAATAAAAGAAAATATTTAGATCATTTACTCTTACCTGTCTACTATTACTATATTGGGAATTTAAAAGGCATTTATGTTTTTTGAAAAAAGATTTTTGTAATGTGTCTGTTGTAAAACTTTGCATCTGAAAATTAAATAAATATTCAATAAATGATGATGATAAATATTTACTGCATATTTTGGTGTAATAAGCTAAACATTTAAAGTAATATACCTGATAAATAGTAAAACCAATCACTTTAGGTTCAAGAACAACATGTTGAGCGACTGAGATGACAACTTCATCATTATCAGAAATAACTAATTGTAATTGTGGATTTATATGGAAAGTGTCTAAAAATATATTGAAAAAATCATAAATTTCATATTCAACTATGTTAAAATAAGTTTTCTTTTGAAAGGAGAAAAACCTGTATTATTTCTGCATCCTCCAGCAGTCACTCCTCTTAACCAACATCCATGATAATATTTTAGATACCAACACATCCTTGATCTTAAACTAAGTTCTTCTTTACTGCTATCTCCATCCAAATGAATGATTTCTAAAGTAGTGAAAGTTCGTACAAAATCTTGATAAGTCATCCTGTAATTAAATATTTTTTGAAATTTAATATAAATTAATCTATTATTGTTTTTGCTTTCCTATAATTACATATATTTTAGAAATGTAAATTTAGAAAATTGCATGAAAAAGAATACAAAAAATAATAATCACCAGAATTCTCCATCCTGTAAATTTCTCAAGTTTTTCTTATGTTTATTCTCAGGAGTTAATTTATTCCATTCAGAAGAACTATGAAATTTAATGAAAAACATTTATTTACAGGCAGAACAATATCTATTCATATAAATTGAATATTGTACATACTTTCTACACCAGTTTCCAACATAATCTGAAATCATGCTGAGTGGATTTCTTAATTTAACAAGTTGTATTTGATCACCTTCAACTGTCTCAACCTACGAAATGATAATATAAATTAAAAATTGGCAATATAGTGTGTGAATGTAAGAAATTATAAATTCTCACCTTGTCTAAAGAAATAACTCTATAATTAGTCCCTAAAATTATTCCATTTGCTAATTTTTCTGTTTGATTTCTTGACTGCAAAATTATAAAAAGTTTAATTTAAAAAATCTATAGAATTTAGTATTTTTGTTAAATTAGTAAATTATTCACTTGTGATGTTTGTTGTTGAACAACAGCTGTAATAATTGATGTCATTGCAAGCATTTTATTGAGAATATAACTACATGTATTGGGATCCTGTTGAATATTGACTATTTCAGTAACACCTCCAGTCAAATCTGCAAGACCGTCTTGTGACGAACCATATTTCAGTGCTTCATAGGAACCATGCAATCTATTTAAATATATTTTTATTAGAAATATGTAATATAGTACAGTATAATATATTTATTAATAATCATACTTGGCATATGCTTTTTCTAACAGTGCTGGCCAGAATTGATTACTGTGTTGTGAATGAACAAATATTAGTTTGTTATTGATTGTTGGCAGTTTATCATCCACAACAACTTCTCTCCATTTACCACACCACCATATGTTGAAGTAAAATATTCCTGCATAATCTTCAGAAGAAAATTTCTGATTTATTGGCACTACCTGATGAAATAATCCTCTTATCATATTTAAACAGCTGATACATGACACAAACCATCTGTCTCCTAAAAAACAATGTAATTTTTTAAATTTTTGATAATGATAGTTAAAATCAATTTATTATCTATTATTATTAATGTTCATTATATTAAATTTTTTCCATTAATTCTCCTTTAATCTTACGATACTAAAAATGTAACTGAGAGGTAAAAATAATGAGGAGATTATTATTTTTTCCTCTTAGTTTATACTCTTCAAGTATGATAAACTTTATTCTATGTCACTAGAGAATACTGTATTGTTAAAATTGTAAGTTTTAATACTAGACAAAGGTGCAGTGTGGATTTGCAGCACAAAGATGCTATATATATTATTTGCATGTTTAAATTGATATACTGATGATGAATAAAACAGAATATAATTATTTATCTCATCACTAAATATAACATAAATATAATATACAGTAATATAACATAATACTCTCTTAAAGATAGCCTAATTTTTCTATGGTTAAATTCAAACTAGAAATTTTATCCACCCGCTTCATCCTTGGCAATCGATATCATTTTGCAATGAATAACTTTCAATGTGAAAGAATGATAGAAAACAGTAAAGAAGAGAATGAGAATAATCAACTAATTTATCATTATCGAATCTTTAAAAACTATTAGTTTGAAAATAATGCAGTCTTCCTGATAAATTTATCAGGAAAAGAGTTTTCTATTGGTCTGAATACAACATAACTAATAAAGTGAAAAACTATATAATTATATGTAATCAACAACTGGTTAAGGCAATTATTTTAAAAAACAGATTTCTAATAATTATAATAATATTTGTGAGAACTAAAATCGAACCAGTGAAAAACCTGAAACTTTTTTTGCCGATTTTGTAGAACTAATTTCGGTAAAGATTTAGTGGCTTATCAACAGAGTAGGTTCTATGTGAAAATACTTGATAATACAGGATTCCATTCTACTTTTATCCGACAATAGATGTATTAATCACTTTCTTATTTTTTAGAAAAAACAAAAATTCTAGGAATGTTGCTTTAATCATAATTGAAAGATTAGAATAAATTTGCTTATTTTATTTATTATTTTTTTTAATGTCTAGAATGCAGAAAGTAAGCATTAAAATAGATGAAATTAAACATCAAAACACAGGTATGTACTCGTAGACTAAAATAATGTGTCATTCACAAATTTTAAAGTCATAATTAATATGGATGAGTATTATTTCCAATCTTGCCACATAATTCTATACATATATTTTGATTTATTATGTGTAGAATTATATGGTAAAGGTCAGAAATAATTCTCATCCAGATTAATCATGACTCTACAAGGTACAGTTTTTTACTATAATCCTTTATCATCATTGGAGATGTAAGAACTAATATCCAAATTTTTTTAAAAACCTTTATAGGTATTAATTTGTAGCAGTAATATTATATATATAGCCCTATATATAATTTTTTAATACGTTTAATATACTATAATCTGATTCTGATGTATACATCACATACCAGGCTGCAATTTTTAATCATATTTTTCATTTATTTAATTTAAAATATATGTTCTCCATCTCAAATTAGTGACTCACCCCTGTACATCATGCTTTCCCTTTAACAATAGATTCGTACCATTCATCTATCTAACACCTTTCAGGGGAAAAGGTATAAATTAAATTCAAAATTTAAAATGCAAATTAAAAATCACATTAGAGAGTTTTTTCTTATTAATATCCCAATATCTTAATTTGGTCATGTCAGCTGCATGATCAATTAGAATTTCTCTGGAATTTTGTGTGTGCATAAAAAATTCTCTCAGACTGATACTTTATTTGGTATTGAAAATAAAATAGAAAAGAATTAAATGAAAAAAGTTAATGATAATTACATAAATATATGAAATGTCACATGCGGTAAAACGAAATAATGAAATCTGAAATTTCTTAAGTATTCAGTTTGAATTTGAGGTAGTAATTTGCAGAATTCACATGCTAATTGCTGAAACATTTGATATAAATAACTATTTATAGAGTTATAAAATGAAATTAAAAAAAACTGTACAAATGGAGAGATTAATTTTGATACCAAAAGAAAAACCAAAGTTAATTTTATCATTATAAATAAGCTAAAAGAAAAGTATAAGCCATTAAAAAGGTAAAAAAAACTAAAAATTAACCATTGTACAATCAAACATTTAATTGCTAATTTTATAAAAATATGTTAAACATATGAAACTTGTAATTAATTAATAGGCCAATATCTTAAACTTAACGTAATACTTAAATATATATTAATACATTAAACGTTTGCTTTGCTTTTTTAACAAAATATTTAATTAGTTTTTTTGCCATCTTCCAGAAAATACTTCAAGAGGAGACATTTGATTTATATTTGAATAGTTTTTCATAGCCTACATCAATTTAGAATGAGAAATTAATGTAATTATGGAATACCTCTTAAATGAAAAAATTTGAAGACTAAATATAGGATAAAAGGTAATCCTCTTTGAATGATGAATGTCAACACAAATATTCCCACCAATATTATAAGCCTGTATATGTGTGTATATATATATAACCACGCCTTACTTGACACAGTTCCATTGTTTGAAGTTATGCTTTTTTTTACATTGTACAATTATTTAGAATGAACCAAAATAATAATGACTTGTTTTCCTGATAAAAATTAATATTGTTGTATTCATCTTGAAAAATCATAAATCATATAGATTATATATAATTTTAATAATTTTCGGTGATCTCTCTATAAGTCTGAGACTTTTATAATAATTATTATTTCCCCTCTCAAACAATACTCAGTTATTTTAAGCAAAAAATAGACTTAGATTCATTTTATTTTATAAAACTTTTCTTGGCATCACAACAAAAAATATTTAACACTTGTAATTTCTAATAAAATAATTAAAAAATGAATTACAATTGAAGTGTGTAAATCACATACAACTTGGAGAAATCAACACACTAGAGAAAAAAATACAATATGTTGGCTAAAAAAAACAAACTAATTAATGTGAAAATGATTAAATAGTGTAAGACCATTATAAATTTATTTATATTGTTTGTCCAATATTCTAAAACAATGTCAATAACAAAGAAATGCCAAGAAACAGTAATTAAAGTATTGCATCACAAAGTATTTAAAGTTTAATCAAACTTTAGATATATTTTCTACATACATATAATTAAATCAGTTATAAAAACAGTAGAAAATCTTTGTATTTCTGGACAACCAAGAATGAAAAATCATAATCCTTTCATGAACTGAATAGAAAAAAGTGGATTATGGAAAGTTATTTTATATTCGTATCAATTGCTTCTTTGAATATTTCATGGAATATTTCTCTATACAGTATTATGCATTTTTAATTACTCATGGACAATTCGTGTCCATGAGTATTTTTTTCTTTTTAACAATGGACATAACAAGATTGATATCCTATACAAAAATTTATCATGTGAGTTGGACAAATTTATATTAAGAAAAAAAAAGATAAATGGATTTGTGACTTATATTTAACATTTATTACTAGATGTATGAGAATGAAAAGGATATACTGGATACCTGAGTATTTAAATAAATAACTTGACAAAAAAACAAAGAGTATTTTCCAATAAATTAAAAAAAAATCAAGTAAAACCAAATAACTGATAACAAAGGAATAATAATTTAAAACTTTTAAATATACTTAAATATCAAGTACAGTATCTTTACAAACAAATTAACTAATTCCTGATTGTATAGCTATTGCTTATTTGTTTTTACAATATCAAGACCATTGTATATTTTAATATTGCATGCTTATTATAAGTTAAATGTGCGAAAATTATCGAAGACTTAAAAACGTTTCAATCATTTTTTCTTTACTGTCCTACATTTTTTTTTTGTAATAAGTTATGTAGATTAATTACGTCTATAATAATTCTAGACGTAACTAATAATTTCCAGTCGATTTTTTCTCCTCTTGTGATGATTTTGTAGCCGATTCCTGATCAAAATCGTTTCAACCCGATAAATCTTAATAACGAGAATTGTTCGGTTCAAAATATTTTTGATGGCGATAAGAAACGTTAACTTAAAACTTGATCTGATGATAGAAAAATTTTTTTATTTTAATATAAACCTATCAAAACTTTTTCAAAAGGTCTTTGCCCTATCGCCATCGGTGATACACGTATCATTTTATCGACCTTTCCCGATTTTAAGAAGTGATAACAGGTTGATAGGCGACAGTGTTTTTTACGGACTATTTATTTTTCTAATTACTTTACAGAATTGTCTGAAAATTTCCCATAAAAATTCTTTTATTGAAGCAAATGTTAACGGGAAAATGAAACGTAAACCTTCGTTTTTTTATACGTTTTTACTTTCTTAATCTGTTCTGTAACGAAAATTCCTTATTTTTAACATTTGCTTCTCTATCAATACTGAATACAGTAGATCCCCCTAAAACACTGTTGATTTTTTCCGTGTTATATGAATTCCATGTTGTACGAGTCACTTAGATTTTACAAATACGTGCGTCGGGCTGTGAACGGCTTACGTATTTGTAAAATCTAAATGACTCGTACAACATGGAATTCATATAACACGGAATAATCAACAGTGTTATGAAGGGGGTCTACTGTTCTACAGTATATGAGAAAACTATATGCTAATTGCTAATGCTAGGGTGAATGCAATACCCATTCACCCCCAGAAGTTAACTAAAAAGAGAATTAATTTATTTTATTTCTTTCACTTTTGAAGAATTTTTGAAAACTTTTGCCCTATAAAAAGCTATTTAATTTGGATTAAAAGTAGAAAAATAGTCTAAATTGTTAATGAAATTAGCTTCGTTGTTGCATTTTAAATTGATATTTTATAATTATATTTAATCGCGTAACACGTATCGTGTGTGAATATTTAAAGATTATATATTTAATGTATGAAAGTATTTATTAAAGAACGAAACCATTGAATCAACTCCCATTCAAGTAATAAAAATAATAAATTCTAATAAAATTATTTAACAATACAAAACTGCTGAACAGTAACTAACAGTTATGATATAATACTAATTTTTCATGCTGTATAACGAGTTATAACGGTAATTATATTTTATAAATACGTAATTGGTTTCAGTATAAAGTTAATATGCAATTGAAAACAATTCATAATAGGCTTATACTTTAGAAAGTCTCTCATTTAATATAGAGACCATGGAGTTTTTATTGCTAACAGGAGCTTCATTATTTCTTTCAAATAATATATTTATATTATATTATTACTGAATAGAACGAGCTTATGTTAAAATGGTGTATTGTCTTATCTTAATGATGATAATTATCAAATAATGATGTAAAAGGTAATTTTATTTATTTTATTAAAAATAGCCTAAGAAATGGAAGGAAAAAAGCAAGAATAAAACAGATATCCACGACCGTCGAGAGTTTGTATGGTGAACGTATTTAGAGTTCTCCCTTTTGCCTTGTTTTTTTTTTTGAACAAACGAAATACATAGGATGTTTATTTATTAATAAAAAGTAGTCTTAAAGGTTTTATTTTCTGTTAGTAAAATAACATTAATTTATAGAGGTAGCAATCACTACGAGCTCGGGAAAATTTCCTGTTCCCCCACTCTCTCCACTGCCCCGCTGTTAAGTTAAAATACGAATGTTATGCTTGATGAAGTATAGAAAGCAATAACGGAAACAATCTTCAAATGCTATATTTAAAACTCGAAAATTCTACACAATAAACTATTCGTATTGTCCGAATTAAGACTTAAAACTTTAAATTAGTAACTGTTAATATTCTGATTTAATAGGAAATGATATATTTTGTTTATAAGCTTCGAATATCTATATAGAAGATACTCCGTTATCCTATCTCATTCTTATTTTACCATAAAAATTCCGATCTAAAAATCATCTAACTTATATAAAATAAGTTAAGTGATGTCTCGTCGTTCGAATTTAGCCCGATTTATTCCAAGAGGCCGTACTAACTCTGAAGCGTTCGAAGTACGAGGTTCTGTACGATACAATAATTAATTTGAATTCGTAGGAAATGTTTATTAATTTCTACGATTGAGTCAAAGACGTGTGCACGATAATCTAGTTATTACATATTATATTTGGAAATAATACGCTCTGATGAATGCTACGATTGTACGGATGTCGCCATATCTCACGAATAGGAATGTTTTGCTCGATAGCATTTGTAGAAACTCTCAGATCTTCCAGATAAACCAAGTGTGAATTCAAATTCAAGTAAAGATATTTGATAACTTACCGAGTTTACCCGGAACGATATCCAACTGCATACAACCATCGTTGAAAAATATTGGATTGGGACATATCTCCTATTAAATTAAAAAATAATAATAATAAAGAAAAAAAATCATAGAGAAATGTTAATTTCTTAAAAGAAACTTTAAAAAATAAGTAACTTGACAATTGATTAGCCTATATACATCTTATTTTATCCCGATATCACCCAAAAATTGATGTCGGTCGTGGCTGGAAGCTAACTAAGACCTAGTGACCGAACATTATGTGAAAGTAGGCCAACGTAGATTTTATAAAATTATGTTTTCCGCATTCTCCGTGAATTATAAAAAAGGTGTTAAAGCATAGAAACGTTTCCTTTTTCTCATAATTTGATATAAATTAGGCGAAAAGATCGTTCGCCCCCTCGTCGTAACTACAAGGTCAAGTTAATCCCATTGCAACGAAGAGGCGTGAATATGCGGAAATATTATTAATAAATAGATTCGAATGCGTATTACGAATGTTAATACGCTTACACAGTTCAGTTAATTTTAAAATAAATCGAGAGGAAAGTTGTGTTTTCGCGTTATTCGTTTAAAAAAAATATATATATAATCTATCACATGGATATATTTCATACATTGAGATTTGGAAAGGGAGAATAAATCGTGTTTTATTATTATTTTCCTTGTAAGATATTTTCATATTAATCTCATATTATTCGTGTTTTAATTCCAAAAAAAGATTTGCACTCGACAACTTTCGCCATCCATTTGTCTATGTGTAATGAACAGAACAACTTTCAGGGTCAATGTCCTGTCGGGCGTGGATGTATTCCTACTCATATCATTCATTCTAAGGTTAATTTCATCACTTAATATGCTAGGTTTGGTACAAGTTTTATTGTCCAGGAGCTATTTTATTACTTTACATAACTGAATAATTAGTTGTTGTTTTATTTTTTTTCTAATATCTTTTTATTTTTTAACTATAATTCTTGTGCGTTAGTTATTTCTACATCTGTTTATCTTTTGTACATTTATTATTAACAAGTTCCTAATTTAATATTACACGTAATCTGACAATACATGAATAATATTAGAAATCCACAGAATATAATTTTATTCTTCCTTGCTTAATCCTGTAACAAGATAATGAGGTTGAAGTCATTACTTAAATCAATGTGTTTAATCTAATCTGATAATAATTGCTTTGCCTATCGTTTATTAAATATAACGGAAAAAATAGATAATTATAATTATAATAATTATTATTATACTAATTTTATTTGCTTAAATTATGACATTAATTATAGAATAAACTTCTAGAAAAACGTATAAGGATAAGGATACAAAGTGTAACTCCAGATTTTTCCGATAAATTACCATTATGTTTATGACTAAGCCAGGTAAATTTTAACTTGTATTATAAAATACTACGTATAAGTTGTTTACGTGACCTTATTTTATATAAACGAAGAACATTTTAAGCAAAAAATATATTGGAACCGTTAGAAGATTTTCCGTCCTCATCAAAATGTTCGTTAATAGCAAAAGACAATGACCGAATAATAGTTTCTCTTGAATATTCTAGCAACGTATTGTATTTACCTTCACTCTTTTCCAAACAAATTGAAAAGGTGGTGTTTGATGATAAAATACCGATTGTTGACAAGCTGGAAATTCAGAATCTTCGAAAAGTTCTCCACGCTTTAAACAGCTACGTTTCAATCTTTCGTATTCGGACATTAATCACTGTTTTAATATAAAAGAAGATTTTGAAAAAACAGTAGGAAGTTTAACACAAATTATATAAATAAATACTTACATGGAGTATTTTCAACTTTGTAAAAAGTAAAAAAACTATTTTTCCTGACTGTGATTTAACTACAACAGATAAAAATTACAAACTGATATAAACAAACAATTGCTTTCTAACCGAAACCACCTGCAATCTGAAGGTAGTGTCTGTTTGTTAGTCGTGTACCTTAGTCTTTCGACCAATCAACGAACGTCTCGCACGAATAAATACTGGAGGCGGTCCAATTGGTGAACGACCTCGGGTCTCGCTCCCGACCTCCTCAGATCGGAAACGGTCTCCAAGCTTTTACTTCCCCGTTCTGACTCATTAAAAAAGAACAGTATACGCGACTTCGCCCATCTTACACTCTTATTAAAATTCAATCCACGTTATAATTATTTAGTTTGTTACGTCTAACGTCTAGTCTATCACAAGGCCCGCTGCGCTCGACCTTACAATCAGAGCATAGCGTATCATAAAGATATCAAATATTAAATATATGTCAAAAATTATTCAAAAATTTACTTTATAATTAGTATAAATCATTCGTAATTTTATTCTAATTTCTCATTAAAATTGATTTTAACACGTCTTGTGTTTGTGAAATGGGAAATAATTAACATAAAAAGGAAATATTGCATCGTACAAAATTCTGTTTTACAGTTTAAAATGTCTAAGATATGTTTATATAAGTCATTTACCTACAGTTTTTTTTCTATTTTTATTTATTATTTATTTTGTGTGTGTGTGTAGTTCTTGACTCTCGAAACGCTAATTGACCATTCAACTACCGGTGAAATCGTCGGAGATATTCATAGACCGTAGGTTATTCTTCGTTCTTAGAATTTTCTGTAAGATAATAAATCATAAAATACAAGTTATCATTCTTTTATATATGAAAGCTTATAGTTAATTTATAGGTTAATGATGAATTTAACCTATATATAAATGATAATAATTACAAATTAATTGAAAAAAAATGACTTAAACGTTTTATAAACTTAGCCATTTCAAATTATAAAGAATTTTCCTCCTAAAAGAATAAGAAATGTTAAAAAATTAAAGAAAATTCATAGCAAGAAAAAAGAAATTTTATTACTGTATTAACATAAACCTACATTAGAAATAATACCTCTCACTAAGTTGTGCTATAGATTAATTACAATTGAAATTTTTTTTAGAAAATCATATTGTATTCATTATAATAGTTAATCTTGATAATATAAATGCAGCATACAGCTAATAAAATAATCATATACCTACCTCATCATTGTTTTCATTGATCAATGCAAACAATCATAATATTGATAGTATTATTGTAGGGCTTTGATTTTTAATTGGTTATGAATTAATTTTACTTTATTTTTTCACTTGTATTCGTATACATGTGATTCCTATAATGCTTGGGATCGATATTCAAAAGTTAAATGTTTAAGAATAAATTTAATAATTAACTTTGATAGTTTATTAATTTTAATAATACAGTCGACCCCCCCTCTATAACACTGTTGATTATTCCGTGTTATACGAATTCCATGTTGTACGAGTCACTTAGATTTTACAAATACGTGAGTCGTTCACAGCCCGGCACACGTATTTGTAAAATCTAAGTGACTCGTACAACATGGAATTCGTATAAAACGGAATAATCAACAGTGTTATAGGGGGATGGACTGTAATTACTTGAGCAGTTCATTCAACGTTATTTGTTGGTAACTTTTTGGCAATATTTCATTAATGCTACGATAGTGGCGTAATAAATATTTCTAGCACTTCGAGCGCTTCAATCGTTTCAAGGCGTAAGTTTGGCTGGAGCATAGGGAGAGTCAGCTGTAAACATTCGAAATTCTTTTAATATATGAAATTTTCTCGTTTTTAACTCAGATATTACTTTTGTCTTTTTTAAAAGACTGCTTATAAATACTATTTTAATTTGGTTTTGAACATTATTCATTCATAAATGTCGTTAATATTTCTATTTTTATTAACGATTTTAGACTTTAAATTGATTAAACTGTGTTTTTTGCTTACAATTTGTGTTCATTTTTAAATCTTTTTGGGAGTTTTCGTTAAGGGTAAGAAAAGATAGTAAAAAAAAAATTTATATTTAAGCCTATATATACATTATTAATATGGAATTCTGGAGAACTCTGAATCAGGAATAAAAGGGATCGATGAGAATCATATACATTTAATTATGGAAATGTATAGAAATGTTAAACCATGTGTTAAGATAGGATAGATTTAAAGTGTTACAGAAAAAAAAAAAAGAGATTTAAGATTTAGGGTGGCTTTGGATTTTATCAAGGTTAAATCAATATTTTTTTATTTATTTATTAATATTAGATGAATTATTGTAGTTTGTAGTGAGAAAGGAGCTATGATATATATTATTCACAATTTATATTGTGTTTATTAATGATAGAGAGAGATTAAAGTTGAGCCAAAATAGTTAGGAACAGGTTAGAGAGGGGGACTAAAAGTCAGTAGATTTAGTTCTTGGATTTCANTATTAATATTAGATGAATTATTGTAGTTTGTAGTGAGAAAGGAGCTATGATATATATTATTCACAATTTATATTGTGTTTATTAATGATAGAGAGAGATTAAAGTTGAGCCAAAATAGTTAGGAACAGGTTAGAGAGGGGGACTAAAAGTCAGTAGATTTAGTTCTTGGATTTCAAATATAGGTTGTTAGAGAGAGGAAAAAAAAGAAATTCCAACTGTATAGACAACATATTCAACATTTTTACAGGAACATAATAACTTAGAGTTAATTAGAGGATAATGAGTTAGAGGTTGACAAATGAAACAGGTTAATGTGGGATGGCAAGAGTTCAGACAGTATTATTAGATATTGACAGTGATAGTGATTAGTGATGAGATGGAGGCTAAAAGAAACACATTTTTGTGATATTTTAAACCTATATAAATAAAGGACAGGTATAGTAGGCCATCAATAAATCTGCATTCATATTCTACTTAGTATAAATTACCAAAATATGTAAAGCCAATAGAGAGATTGCGGCCGAAGTTTTCATCTGTAAAACGTGAGCGTCGAACGCCGATTACAAGATAGCGGCGCTCGACGTTCGACGTTCACGTTTTAGAGATGAAAACTTCGGCCGCAACCTCTCTAATGTGTCATAAGATGTATAATTTCTCATGTCAAAATTACAAAACTATTTCATCCCAAATATTATTTCTCACTATACTGAATCAAATAAAATTGCATAGCACACTTTATGTAGTATTAAAGTTAATAAATTATTTAAAAAATAGTTTGTCTTTATCTGAATTAAATTTCTATAGCTATTTAATTAAATGTACTGTACAGTACAATATAATATCTATCGACTCATGCCCTGAAGCGCCCTCGTACGGAAAAAGAAGACATTGAAAAACTTCAATAAAATGGCGGCCATCATCACCAAATTTAGACGTAAGACACTTCTGAAACTATTTACTTGTAATATTAGTTAACTTTTAGAATACTCATCATTATAAATTTATACTAATGATTCGGGAACGTTCAAATGATATTAAATTAATACGAATGATAATATTTAGGTAAATAACATAAACAACAAGCTTGTTCGTAACCACGTGTATAATCAATACAATTTGTGTTATTATTCCTATATATAAATAAATTTGCCTACTTTCTATGTGTCGATGTTGTAAATTAAAATGAAAAATTGAATGTAAATTTTATAATCACGTCTTTGCCATGAAACAGTGTTATCAAATTTATGAATAGAATATTCCAAGAGATATTTAAATATCCGGTCAAAGTATACCTAGGTAACCCCAATGGCGGCGGTTAGGTTAGGTTAGATATTTATGTTTAGATATTTGAACTTGGGACCGAGACGAGTTCAATAGTGCTCTATGTTTGGACCGGAGACTAAAAATAAGAAAGTTATTATCTCCAGGAGGGATAGGTTAGGTTTGTTGGACAAGCTGTGAAAGTGGTATGTAGTACTAGCCGACTGCGAGTGATAGCAAGCATGTCGGTGGCTGAGGGGCCATAGACCACAAGGTTGAGGAGCGCGGGGGCATGCAAAAAGGACTTAACTCCAACTGCAAACAATCAGTGTACTTGTGGATCAACATCTGTTGAAGGTATATAGGGCCAACTTTCCAGATTGCCTGTTAAACACGCGATAGGCTTAGCGGAAAGAGCGTCGTGACTCCCAATCATCGCACAATTGCCAGTAAAAAGTATGATAACTTTATTATTTTTGGTCTCCGGTCCAAAAGTAGGATTAAACTTGTCTCGGTCCTCTGAGTTCAAATATCTAAACCTAGGTAACCTCAATGACTGTGCTTTGGTTAGGTTAGGTTAGATATACCTAACCTAACCGAAGCACAGTCATTGAGGTTACCTAGGTATACTTTAACCAAATATCCTAAAAATAGTCTTATTCTTGCTGGCACATGTTTAAGATATGCATTTAAGAAAATGCCTGCTGTTATTGCATTATACATTACTCTGTTTGCTGTTATTTGTTCTGCATAATTTATACAGCTTCCACAAACGTCATAAACTGTAACATAGGTGACAGGTCATTGTCATGAATTGAATGAACTTTCTCTATGGAAAAGCAGTTTTTCTGTTTATTTCTTGTTTCTATCATTTGGTGATGTAATATAGTCCTTCCTAAATACTGTGTAGCCAAAGATTTTTCAAAAATCATCATTTAGATTATCACAAGCCAGCTCTCGCATCTGGTGGAGGAGAAAGGACAGCTTATTTTTTCCAAGTTCCCACTGAGTAATTTTCAAATGCACTATGGATGTAGAAGGTTTAGAAACTTACATCTTTGCAAAAATGTCCTGTGAACCTTATATTGCATGCCATCCAAAACATTAACTATCATAAGAAAATATTTGAGAATAGAAATTTATTAATGCCTGTTTCTTTTATTATTATCTTTTAAAGATGTTTCAGAGTGACAGTTGTTGAATTAGCCATAAAAACTAATTCATATGCCTTTGTGTCTTTATTTATACAATTTATTATTATTTATTATCCATGACTACTAGGACATATCGTGTTAGTAGGACTTATTATACTGGTGTCCAGGAACTGCAAATTTAAGAAATCTATTCACTAAAAACAGTCTTTATTTTTCACCTGTTTTGCCTGTGAAAAATAGATTGTTTTTTTTGAACAAGTTTCTTAAATTTGCAGAACCCAGATGCCAGTATAATGAGTCCTACTAGTACAATATGTTCTAGTAGACATTTACATAATAAATAGCCATAAAAACATTCAAATATTGTCTAATGACACTCAAATTTTGGAAGGTATGAAAATTTTTTGTAGAAAAAAGTAATTTGAAAAATCTAAAAACATATGTACTTTAAGAATATTTTATTGTTTAGTGACATAATTGCAAAGTTTTTCTTTTTAAAATTAAGATATTAAGATTAGGAGAATGCTCTTGTAGACTTCTCAAAGAAAGCTTGATGATATACAATGGGTGATCAGTTAATGAACAAATCAGATAATGAACACTTTTGCAATAAGATTTTTATGTTTGGACAACAAACACATGATTGGATAACGAACACCTCACAGAACAAACAGAAGATGAAGTGATGTAAAATAATGAATACCGATTGGTCTTCCCTTGTCTTTGGACAACAATTTGAAACTTTTTGGCGCGGGAGATGTCGACATCAACGCTCAGTTCAGTATATACCGATAGTATTCCTCTGAACTTTGAAACTCTCCCTTGTAATTCCAGCCTTTTATTTTTCTGACAGAAACAGTTCTTTTATAGTATTCGTGAGACTGTCGGGCGGGCACTCATTAAGTTTTGTGTTGGTTTTTATTTTCAAAAGGTGAGAATATAACAGCAAAGATAGAGTGGCAGATGTCTGATGTTTGTTGTAGCTGGGCAGTATGGCTTGAACAGGTCTACAGTAGGTTGCAGTTCAATCTTATCTAAGAAAGATACTGTACGATCAAGAAGACTCAAGCAGCTTAAGGAGTAACAAAAATCACATCTGAGAAATAAAGAACATTGAAGAGCTCATAATGGAACCTGAAACTGATCTGACGTCAGAAGAATGCCATGAACTCTTGAATGAAGAACACCAAGAAACTCAGCGAGATATGTTTTTTTCTGAAAAAGAGAGTTAATGTCGATATCTGCTATTAAACATTTTTTGAAGAAGTGGGATGATGTCAGAACGACAGTCTTAGAATGGCATCCAAACCAGGTTGAGGTTAATAGGCTTAGGGATATCTAAAATTACAATGCTATTAATTACTTCTGGAAAATCTTGAAGAAGAGAGAAAAGCAATCAACATTGGACAGATTCTTTAACCCCACAATGGGAAAAGCACAACTAATAAAAATGCAAGACTGCATATATATATATATATGTATGTATATGTATTTTTACTATTACATATAAATAAATGTAATAAATAAAAAATATAAAAATAAAATATCCAAAAAAATAAAAAAGTATATATTTTTTATTTTTTGGAGTCTCCTGAACGAATTAATCAAATTCCCATAAAAACCTATGGTAAATCAATAATCAATTAATGAACAATTTGGATAACGAACAAAGTCTTGGAACGGATTATGTTCGTTAACTAACTGATCTCCCACTGTATTTTTTATCTTAGATTTTTGTTTTAAATATAAATGAAGCAAGTGAATCAACTTAAATTCAGAAACACTATATTCTTTCTTAATTAATTAAGGAGTGAGATTTAATTTATTTATTCTCAAGATTTTTCATGTTCTTTAGAAATCAGACTTCATAATATGTATAAAATAGTCAAACAGATCAATAAAGTTTCATGGTAACAGAAGGAATATTTTATATTTAGTAAGAATAAAATCCAAATAGAAATAAATAAACTCAGCTATTTTAATTGCTCTTGAGTATATGCTCAGCATTTATGAGATCTTCTGTATTACATTAGATGTTCCAGGTAACAAAATTCTTGATAGGTCACGAATTTCAAATTAAAAAAATAGTTTAATGCCAAATAATTACTGGATTACATCTGCCTATAACAATGCTACTAATTATTAAGTTATTTGGCCTAGAGATGGGCATTAAGTGCCATCTCTTGATAAATTTAATAATTATAATTAAATTAATATTTTAATAATTAATTTAGAAGATTCTGGAATAAATATACATATCAATTGAAACCCGTTATCTTAAGCAAATACACCTACAACTGCCATAAATGATCAGGCTAAATTTTGGATATATGATTATAGATTAGACTTGAATCCACAACTGCTACTTGTCATGTGGATAAAAGATATCACCTAACACCTCACTCTAGTGCCAAATTCATTTCTAATCTATAATCATATATCCAAAACTTATACCGATAATTTACGGCAGTTGTAGATGTATTTGCTTAAGGTTTTGGAAGTAAAGAATCTGCCTGAAGTAGGACTTGAATCCACAACTGCTACTTGTCATGTGGATACATTTCCAGTTATGCTACCTTGATCTCTGTCTGATCTTCTCTCCCAGAACTATTAATTTAATTGTAATCATACTGGTTATTATAACTCTATGTAATCCAGCAATCATTTGCCGTTATTAGAAAAATATGTAAAAAATAGTTTTGTGAATTTTTTTCTTGTAGTCATAGATCTCATTTGCAGGCCTAGGGACTTGTATTATCATTAGTTTTAATGTTTTAAAATTTTGTTCATACATTGCAGTGTTCTCCCCAGAAATTATTACTAACTAAATGGAATAAAGTAGCAGTCAGATGGATCCAAAAAAACAGAAAAACAAAAGCATATTGCATGTTGTTATAAAATTTTCTATTTGTGAATACATCTCATCTTTCTCCAAATATGTGGTGTGGCAAGAAAATAACGAGACTGATTGCCTGTGCGCAACAGTCACACATGGGCCGAAGTGAGTAGGTGGATAAATGACATTGAACAAGTTAGAACAAGCACAACAACTTGCACAAGAAGTCTCAACTTTGTTGACTTGATAGCAGCAGCAACTTGTGCAAGTTGCTGCTGCTATTAGATTGCTGTGAGTGCTTGTTGCGAGTGGATGTGTTGTTAGCGCATGTCAGAAAAATGGCCAGCTTAAAAGAGGAGCAGCGTATTAACCCTACAATTTTTGGTGAAATTGAAAAAATTGCCATTGAATCTTTGCATCTGCTATATGAAACATACAGAGATGTACGTCTTTCTTGTGCATGTGTTTTCAAATGGCACAGGAGATTTTCTGAAGGCCAAGAGGATGTGAAAGACAACGAATGTTCTGGACAGCCAAGCTCATCAAAAATCGAGGAAAAGATGCAAAAGGTGGAACAAATTGTAAACCAATATTACTATAAAGAAGTTCTGAAATCTTTGCGGGAAAGGATCTGAAGAAAACAGTGACACTTATGGCAAAATAGTTTCATCCTCCATCAGGACA